CGATCCAGCTCTCTGCTATGACTTGGGAAAGCAGTACAAGATGGCCCAACTGCTTGGGCCCCTGCACCCATGTGGGAGACCCGGAAGAAGCTCCTGGCTCCTAGCTTCGGATCGGCACAGATCCAGCGGTTGCGGCCATCTGGGGAGTGAACCAGCAGATGGAAGACCTCTATCTCTGTCTCTACCTCTCTCTAACTCTGTCTTTCAAGTAAATAAAATAAATCTTAAGCAAAACAAAACAAAACAAAAAAACAACACATATGGAGGCAAGCCTATTAATGCCAAAATTCTAGTTAGACTGGTAGATTATGAAAAATATTAGCTTTCTATTACTCTAATTAAATGCCCAACACAGGCTGCTTATAAATAAAAGAAATATATTGTAGCTCATGATTTTGGAGGTTCACAGTCCAAAATTTGGCAGACCTCACTGTTTCAGCCATCTGGTGAGATGAAAGAGGACAATTACACAATGTGCACAAAGGAACAATCACCTGGCAAGGCAGGAAACAGTGAGTGGCTAGGCCCAATTTGCTTTTATAACCAACCCTCTTATAAGAGCTACCTTCTGGGGCTGGCATTGTGGCATAGCAGGTTTAGCCACCATCTGTGTCATCAGCATCCCATAAGGGTACCAGTTTGAGGCGTTGCTGCTCCTCTTCCAATCCAGCTCCAATGTGTACAGAAAGGCAGTGGAAGATGGCTCAAGTGCTTGGGCCCCTGCACCCACGGGAGATCCAGAAGCAGCTTTGGGCTCCTGGCTTCAGCTGGAGCTATGTGAGGCCATTGTGGCCATTTGGGGAGTAAACCAGCAGATGGAAGATCTTTCTCTCTCTAACTCTGCCTTTCAAATAAATAAAAAGTAAAGAGAGGCCAACACACGATGTAGGTTAAACCTCCACCTGCAGCGCCAGCATCCCATTTGGGTACCCGTTCAAGTCCTGGCTGCTCCTCTTCTGATTCAGCTCTCTGCTTATGGCCTGGGAAAGCAGCAGAAGATGTCCCAAGTACTTGGGGCCCTGCACCCTTGTGTGGGACCCAGAAGAAGCTCCTGGCTCCTTGCTTCAGATAGGCCCAACTCTGGCCATTGTGGCCCTTCAGGGAGCAAACCAGCATATGTAAGACTTCTCTGTCTGTAACTCTGCCTCTCAGATAAATAAATAAATATTTAAAAAAAATTTTTAGGGGCCGGCAGCGTGGCTCACTTGGTTAATCCTCCGCCTGCAGTGCCGGCATCCCATATGGGCACCGGGTTCTAGTCCCGGTTGGTCCTCTTCCAGTCCAGCTCTCTGCTGTGGCCCAGGAAGGCAGTGGAGGATGGCCCAAGTGCTTGGGCCTCTGCACCCGCATGGGAGACCAGGAAGGGGCACCTGGCTCCTGGCTTTGGATCGGCACAGTGCCAGCATGGCGGCCATTTGGGGAGTGAACCAACGGAAGGAAGACCTTTCTCTCTTTCACTGTCTGTAACTCTACCTGTCAAATAAATAAAAAAAATTTTTTTTAAAAACTACCTGTTGAGGGCACATCCATTGACATAAGGACCTCCCATTAGGCTTACCTCTTAAACACCATAATTGAATTGTTTCTATCCTCAGTGCTATCAATTTATGAGTTTGAGATTTAAACATGAATTCTGGAGCCTCATCCTATTCAAAGCATGGCAAATACGAAGTAACAGGTAGGTAGCCAATAATTAGGACCGCAAGTCTAGATAGGGAAATAGATTTATTTTGTTATATAAGCCCACATGGCTAGGATTCGAGATAGATATGCCTCCTATCAAAATAAGCTCTGGGGTCAGCGCTGTGGCACAATAGGTTAACCCTCCGCCTGTAGTGCCAGCATCCCATATGGGCCCTGGTTAGAGTCCCGGGTGCTCCTCTTCCTGAATTGCTCTCTGCTATGGCCTGGGAAAGCAGTAGAAGATGGCCCAAGTCCTTGGGCCCCTGCAGTCACATGGAAGACTTGGAAGAAGCTCCTGGCTCCTGGCTTTGGATCCGCACAGCTCTGGCCGTTGTGGCCATTTGGGGAGTTAACCAGCATATGAAAGACCTTTCTCTCTGTCTCTCCCTCTCACTATAACTCTACCTCTCAAATAAATAAATAAATAATCTTTAAAAAATAAACTATGCATAAAGTAGTGCTACATAGGCAGTGTAAGGGAATATCATTGAGCCATCAAGTGTATACTGAAATTATTTTAGTATTGGTTTACATCTTGCATGAATGTAAGATCCAAGAGGGTTCTAGTCCTGTTTGCTCCTCTTCCAGTCCAGCTCTCTGCTGTGGCCCAGGAAGGCAGTGGAGGATGGCCCAAGTGCTTGGGCCCTGCACCTGCATGGGAAACCAGGAGGAAGCACCTGGCTCCTGGCTTCGGATCGGCACAGTGCCAGCCGTGGCGGCCATTTGGGGAATGAACCAATGGAAGGAAGACCTTTGTCTGTCTCTCTCACTGGCTATAACTCTACCTGTCAATAAATAATAATAAAAAAAAAAAGTACCACAGGAAATTCATGGACAAATGAAAATAAAAGATAATGTTCATTTGCCATGAACTTTCTGTATTGTGTATGTTTTTTGAAATAAATTAGGGTAAAAGGAACTAAGTATCTTGAAGAAGAATCCTGGATCCCTGTGTTTCTGAGACTTCAAACAGAATGGGAATAACCACTCAACAGGATAAATAATGCAAAAGTTCCACCTTTTCTTGATACAGATTACATTTTTAACCTTAATCTTTTGCTCCATAGCAAATCATCCCAGTAACGATCATTAATTTGCTTACAAATGGGGACTGCTCATCTACTCTATGGAGTCATTGGACAGGCTCAGCTGGGCTAGAAGACCTACTTCTCAGATAGCTCACCCACACAGTGCCTGTCCCTGGGCTTACAGCTTGGCAACTAGGAGCAACTGTTCTCACAGGCAGAAAGCTGATGCAGCCAATCGCTAAGGCCGGAGCCCAGAAGCTAACTATTCACTTCCACTCCACGGTATTCTACAGGTCAATAGAGATACAACCTCATTTCTCAATGGGAGGAATGTCCAAGAATTTGTATCCATATTAGAAGTCACATCTGTCTCCAAAGCAAATGAGTGACATAAAATGGCATTTCCCACCCCCAATTCCTGCTCCCTAAATAAAATCATCTTCAACAAATTTTTATCAGTTTATTTGACAGGCAGAGTTAGAGGCAGAGAGAGGTCTTCCATCTGCTAGTTCATGCCCCTAATGGCCACAATGGCAGGAGCTGGGCCGATCTGAAGCCAGGAGCTTCTTCCAGGTCTTCCATGCGGGTGCAGGAGCCCAGGGACTTGGGCCACCATCTACTGCTTTCCCAGGCCATAGCAGAGAGCTCGATCAGAAGAGGAGCAGCTGGGACTAGAACCGGTGGCCATGTGGGATGTTGGCACCGCAGGTAGCAGCTTTAACTGCTATGCCACAGCATTGGCCCCTCAACAATTTTTTGTTTCCTCTGATATTTATCTCCATCTTTCTACTTAGTATGGTTACCTGATTTCTTGGATTTTCAGTTTTTCTGCAAAAATTATGGTTCAGCTCTTCAAGTGATATATTTTGAACACAGTTAAATTTTTCAGGAATATTTCTTTCATTTGATTAACTTTTCTAGACAACACACCTTCCAACAGTATTATAAAATATTTCTCAATCCAATTTTGAAATCATCAGACTTGTCAGTCTACCTCACCAATTTTTCTTGGTGTACTTTTTTTAATTTTTTTTTCACTTTTATTTAATAAATATAAATTTCCAAAGTGCAGCTCATGGATTACAATGGCCTTCCCCCCCACCCCTACAACTTCCCTCCCACCCGCAACCCTCCCACCTCCTGCTCCCTCTCCCACTCTATTCACATCAAGATTCGCCTTCAATTCTCTTTTTATATACAGGAGATCAATTTAGTATACATTATGTAGAGACTTCAACAATTTGCACCGACACAGAAACATAAACTGCAAAATACTGTTTGCGTACCAGCCACAGCATCCATTCACAATGAACAACACATTAAGGACAGACTTACTTGTGAGACATTTACAAACAGAGGGAGAGAGAGAAAGGACTTCCATCAGCTGGTTTACTCCCCAAATGGACGCAAAAGCTGGAGCCAGGAGCCCCTTCCTGGTCTCCCATATGGGTGCAGGGACCCAAGTGCTTGGCCATCTTCCAGTGCTTTCCCAGGCACATTAGCAGGGAGCTGTGTTGGAAGTGTAACAGCTGGAACAGCCAGTGCCCATATGAGATGCTGGTGCTGCAGGCTGCAGTTTAAACCCGCTTAAGCCAAAGCGCCGACCCCTGAATAAATACAAACACTGAACAGGGGCCAGTGTTGTGTAGTGGGTAAAGCTGCCTCCTGTTATATCAGCATCCAATATGAGCACTGGTCTGAGTCCTGGCTGCCCCACTTAAGTTTCAGTTCCCTGCTAATGGCCTGGGAAAGCAGAGGAAGACAGCCCAACTGTTTGGGCCCCTGCACTCACGTGGGAGACCCAGAAGAAGCTCCTGGCTGCTGCCTGTTGGAGGACTTCTAGAGAGTGAACCAGTAGATGGAAGATCTCTATTTCTCCCTGACCTTAAAAATGAATAAATACTGGCCAGCGCCATGGCTCAATAGGCTAATCCTCCGCCTGTGGCGCCGGCACACCGGGTTCTAGTCCTGGTGGGAGAGCCAGATTCTGTCCTGGTTGCTCCTCTTCCAGTCCAGCTCTCTGCTATGGCCCCGGAAGGCAGTGAAGGATGGCCCAAGTGCTTGGGCCCCGCACGCGCATGGGAGACCAGGAGGAAGCACCTGGCTCCTGGCTTCGGATCAGCATGGTGCACCGGCTGCAGTGCACCGGCCGCAGTGGCCATTGGGGGGGTGAACCAATGGCAAAGGAAGACCTTTCTTTCTGTCTCTCTCTCTCACTGTCCACTCTGCCTGTCAAAATAAAATAAATAAATAAATACTTCTTTTAAAAAAGATGGCACTGAACAAAGTGGCAACTTCAGGAACGCAAAAACTTGAATAGCATCTACTAAATACATAATTTGCTCAAGGGAGAAAAGTAACCTCTGATGGGGGACAACAAACCACTCTAATCCTTGACACTTAGTAGGACCTCACTACAAATAACTGTTGAATAAATGCTAAGTGGCTATCACAATGTTCCTCCTTAATAAGGAGGTGCTGTCTACCTATTTCGTCCCTTTACACAGAACAAGCATTTTAATTCAGAACTACCCTGAGTTTGTTGGAGCTCAAAATTCCTTCATAGGCCCTGGTGCCAAATTCCAGATTGCGTTTTTAACAGGTCTGGATGGCGTCGGGCAGAAGCCCAACCATGACAATAAGTAAGCAAATGTTTTTATTACAGGAAACATTTTAAAGTACAATAACATTTTAAAGCTGGTTTTCAGGCTCTACCTTCCCTTTTGTTGCCATTTACCACAGGAAAAGCGGTCAGAATTCGCTTCTCAGCATGGAAACCACTGCTCCGGAAGCCTAAGTACTGAGAGGCATTGGTTTAGGTGTCTTCTACATTGGAGATAAGGTATAGATCAGTTAGACAACACGCACAAAATAACGAGTAAGTGCTCCCCCCAACACACACAGACACACACACACACACAGATGTTCTAATACTGAACACACCAGGTGGCCACATTGGAGGTAAGGTATAGATCTTAAATGTCAGTTAGACACACACAAAATGAGCAAGTGCTCCCCCCAACACACACACACACACACACATGAGATGTTCTAATACTGAACACACCAGGTGGCCACCCCGGCTAGTCTAGGTACTGAGGGGCATTGGTTTAGGTGTCTTCTACATTGGAGGTAAGTTATAGATCTTAAATGTCAGTTAGACAACACACACAAAATAACGAGTAAGTGCTCCCCCCAACACACACACACACACACACACACACACACACACACAGATGTTCTAATACTGAACACACCAGGTGGCCACATTGGAGATAAGGTATAGATCTTAAATGTCAGTTAGACAACACACACAAAATAACGAGTAAGTGCTCCCCCAACACACACAGACACACACACACACACACACACAGATGTTCTAATACTGAACACACCAGGTGGCCACCCCGGCTAGTCTAGGAAGCTCCATTTCACTCCTCCGTCGCGGATCCGCCTTCCCAGCATGCGCAGCGGCTCAGGACTCGGCGAGTGGGCGTGGCTGGGACCCAGGAAAGTCAATCGGCGCCGGGTTTGTTGCCCGTTGGAGGGCGGCGAATTACCTTTTCCGCGGTGCGTAGCCGGCCTCTACTTTATTGATCGTCGGGGGGGTTGCATCACCTTAGAGCACCGGGCTGCGGCGTGGACGCGGGTTTCTTTCTGGGCTTGCCGGCCCGTGGGGCTCTCCAGGTACGCTGGGCCCCTCGGGTGCTCCGGGTCCTGCTTGCCGGGCCTTCGGGCGTCCATAGTCCTGCCGGCCGGGTTCTTCGGGTGCGCCAGGTCCGCAGGGCCCCTGGAGTGCTCATGGCCCTGCCTGCAGGCTCTAGGAGTGCGCCAAGTCCTGCCCGCGTAGGCAAAGATCGCGCACACTTTACAACCCAGAGACCGTAGGGCATGATTTATTTAATTGTTTTTAAAGAAAGATCACGTTTCTTGAGGGTTCATAGTGTGTTGGTCGCGTATATGTGATTCTTTCCAACGGCGAAAATTGGGTGGTGCTGCGAAAGCCGAAACTGAGCTTGAATCCCTGGCTGACTCCTTGGGCCGGGGACCACAACCTTCAAAAATTACTCAGGTGTGCGCCGAGTCCGTGGTGGTCCTTGAACCCTGGTGGTTGTGAGAATTTAGGGATATGGAGCACATTGGAGAAGTCCAGTCTGGGCGAGGCTCCTGCCAAGTCTACGTATTCTTAGGAGCAAACCAAGGCCGGGCTCTTCATTCCTGCTTCCCGTGGGGACCCGGGGCCAGAGCGGCGTCCTGCTCCTAGGCTCACACACGGTCTGATGCTGCGGGCGCCAAGTGCACGTATGTCCGGGAGGACTTGAAAGCTTGAGGATGAGTAGGAGCTGGGGAAAGAAGCAAGGATACTGCAGAATTTAAAAGAGTTGATTTAGGAGATGGGGAGTCGCTGTCTTCATTGCAGTATAGAATGTGTGTGACTAGCAGGTGGCAGTGGCTCCTAGCTTCCTGCATTATGGATTTGTGGTTGCCTTTTTAAGTGAGGCGGTGTTTGAAATGAGTAGACAGCTTTTGAAAACAATGCAGTACATGTAATAGGAAACCAACTTGCTCTATTTTTCCCCCTCAATATGTGCAAGCAATTTATATATTTGTTACATACCAGCTTATTTTTAATGACACATGATATTCATTGTATTAAAATTCCATAATTTACGTTGGTCATCATGGAAGTTGTTTTCAGTTATTTTCCGGGAATATCTTATACACTTACGCATGTTTTGTACATTTTTCTATGCCATTGGTATGTTAATAGGCTGTGTCTAAGTTGGGGGAAGGCTTGAGGTGCACCTACCTTGGGGTTAAATTTGACTTAATGTAAAAAGTTACAAAGACCTGGCAATGAAAAATAGGGAGTAGAGAAACTTAGAGGTGGGACCCACATGATTCGGTGATTAATCTGTTATGCGGTGCATCTGAGTATCAGGGGTGTCTCAGAGGTGTCATGCCTAGGTAAGTGGGAGGAATAACGGAATCACTATTGTAATATAGGTAAAAGGGGAGATTGTTGGGGCAAATGTTTGGCCCAGTGTTTAAGCTGCTGCTTGTGAAACCTGCATAATGCCTGCAGTTGGGTTCTGGCTGCATTCCTGAATCCCACTTCCTACTAATGCATACACTGGGAGGCAGCCAGGTGACTGCTTGGGTCCCTGCCACCCCTATTGAATACCTGGCTTCCGTATGGCCTAGCCCCAGGCTGTTGGGGGCAGTCAGGAAGTAAGCCAGCAGATGGGAGATCTATGTCTCTAAATGAGTTTTTTTTTTAAAGGGGAAGAATATGAGATTTTAAATAAAATATGGTTTCAGTATACTTTTCCAAGAAATACAAGTTCATGAGATAAACACAAGTGAAGTCAAGGAGAGTAGTCTGGAGATTGCTGAACTAGAAGTCAAGGCTAAGGTGGCCTGAGGGAGTTGGGGACTAGGGAAGAGAAGGGAGCTTGGGTTGGAGGGAGATGTGGGCATCCTGGCAAGATTGACTTTCTCTCCCCCCGCCCTGTGGTTGCTGGAGGCTGTTGTGCAAGTACAGCTCTCTAGTGGATGCAATGGGCCAGAGCAATCCTGTGATTTTTGCATGGCGGCTGTTTCTCTTCAGCAGCCGCCATAGCCCGGTCACTGGAACATGGTTCTTCCTGGAACGACCAAGGATGTGACCCTGGGTTTGTGGTGTTGGCATAATAGTGCAGTGATTCTTAATCCTGGAAAGAGTAGAAACTCCCTAGGTAACTCAGTAAAAGTTAGAATCTCTCTTCTTAGAAAACATAAAGTCTTATTTTGTCAAAGAAGAAAAATGGTCCAGATGGGTGTCTGAAAAATTGTCAGAATATTGCCAGTCCTCCAGGGATCTTGTGAAAATGCAGATTCTGGGGAGGCATTTAGTCTAGCAGTTAAGCTTGTTAAGATGCCTTTGTACCACTCTGGAGTGTGTTAGTGTTAGTTCAGTCTCCTGCTGCAGCTTCTGAGTAAAGTTTCTTGCTGATGTAGACTCCGGGAAGTAGAAATGATGACTTAAGTGTGTTCTGCTACTTATGTGGGAAAACCTGGATTAAGTTCTTGCTTTGTCTCCAGGCCATTGCAGGCATTTGGAGAGGGAAACAGTGGATGCAAATCTCTTGTCTCTCCAACTCTCCAAAAAAAAAAAAAAAAAAAAAATTAAAAAGTAGGATTTGAATTCAGGTCCATGGTGGGACTGGCGGGTCTGCATTTCTTTCTTTCTTTCTTTCTTTTTTTTTTTTCTTTTTTTCTTTTTCTTTTTGGTTTATTTCATTTATTTGAAAGGCAGTTAGAGAGAAAGAGATCTTCCAACTGCTGGACTGCTGGTTCACTTCCCAAGTGGCTGCAACAGCTTGGGCTCTGCCAGACCAAAGTCAGGAGCCTCTTCTGGGTCTCCAATGTGGGTGCAGGGGCTCAAGCATTTGGGCCATCTTCCACTGCTATCCCAGGTGCATTAGCAGAGAGCTGGATCGGAAGTGGAACAGCTAGAACTCTAACTGGAGCCCATGTGGGATGCTGGCATCACAGGCAGTGCCACAGTGCGGGCCCCAATGAGTCTGCATTTCTTTCTTTCTTTTTTTTTTTTTTTTTTAAATTTTATTTGAGAGGTAGAGTTACAAACAGTGAGAGAGAGTCATAGAGAAACTGAATTGAACCACTGAACGGAAGACCTCTCTGCCTCTTCTCTCTCTCTGTAACTCTGACTTTCAAATAAATAAATAAACCTTAAAAAAAAAAAAAAAAGAGGCCGGCGCCGTGGCTCAATAGGCTAATCCTCCACCTTGCGGCGCCGGCACACCGGGTTCTAGTCCCGGTCGGGGCGCCGGATTCTGTCCCGGTTGCCCCTCTTCCAGGCCAGCTCTCTGCTATGGCCAGGGAGTGCAGTGGAGGATGGCCCAGGTGCTTGGGCCCTGCACCCCATGGGAGACCAGGAAAAGCACCTGGATCCTGGCTCCTGCCATTGGATCAGCGCGGTGCGCCGGCTGCAGCGGCGGCCATTGGAGGGTGAACCAACGGCAAAAGGAAGACCTTTCTCTCTCTGTCTCTCTCTCTCACTGTCCACTCTGCCTGTCAAAAAAAAAAAAAAAAAAAAAACAACAACAACAAAAAAAAAAGAGTAGAAACTCCCTGGGTAACTCAGTAAAAGAATCTCTCTTCTTAGAAAACATTAAAGTCTTATTTTCTCCAAGAAGAATTGAATTCTATACTCATGGCTTTTTTTTTTTTTTTTTTTAAGGTGACAGTAATGGAGGATAGGCATTTGGCTCAACAGTAAGGCTGCAGCTTGGGATACCTGCATCCCATTTCAGAGTGCCTGGATTTGAGTCTCAGCTCTGCTTCTGATTCCAGCTTCCTGCTAATGCACCCCACTGGGAGGCAGCAGGTGATAGCTCAAGTCCTTAGGTCCCCAACTCCTTCATGAGAGATCTGTATTGAGTTCTGGGCTTTTGGCCCTTGCCTGGCCCAGTGTTGTGGGCATTTGGGGATTGAACAAGCAGATGGAAGATCTGTCTCTTTTTTCCCTTCAAATAATTAAATAAAAATTTTTAAAAAATGAAATGACAGAAATGAACGTGTAGTTATCTAAAGGTCTGTTAGTGTTCAAGTACAATCCCATAAGTTTCAAACGGCTTCTAATAAGGTAGCTGCTGAATCAATAAGACAGTTAATAAGTCAATAATGTAGAGTCTAAATAAGTCAGTAAATGTGGAGTCTAACACTTCTTTCCATTGTTGAAAGGCTGGAGATTGTAGTAAGAATTGAAGGTATAAACAGCTTCTACTTAATGCCATTTAATGGTGCACTCTGATTGGAAATGGCTACTTCAGTTTATTATGTGGCCTGAATGTTCTTAACTTATTTTCCCTAGCATTTGGAATAGTGGTTAAGAGTGCTTGGGATACCCACATACCATCTCACAATTCTGGATTAGAATTTTGGCTATTCTGCTTTCAGTGCACCGTGGAGGCAGTAGAAGACAGATCAAATACTTGGGTGCCTGCCACCCATGTGGAAGACCCAGATTGAATTCTATACTCATGGCCCAGACCTAGCTGTTGCCAGACATTTGGGGAGTGAACCAGCAGCTAGAAGATCGATCTCTCTCTGCCTACCCCTCTGCCTTTAAAATTTTTCCCCACTTTTTTTTTTTTTTTTTTTTTTTTAATTTTTGACAGGCAGAGTGGACAGTGAGAGACAAAGAGAAAGGTCTTCCTTCTGCTGTTGGTTCACCCTCCAATGGCTGCCACGGCTGGCGCGATGTGGCCAGCGCACCGCGCTGATCTGAAGCCAGGAGCCAGGTGCTTCTCCTGGTCTCCCATGGGGTGCAGGGCCCAAGCACTTGGGCCATCCTCCACTGCACTCCCTGGCCACAGCAGAGAGCTGGCCTGGAAGAGGGGCAACCAGGACAGAATCCAGCACCCCTACCGGAACTAGAACCTGGTGTGCTGGCGCC